GCCGGCGTTCCCCTGGGGCTGTCAGGCCACTGAGCCGGGGCTGTGCCTCAGGAGAGGCAGCGGCACTGGTGCTGGTGGCCATGCTGTGGGGCAGCACCGGGCCCTTCCTGCGGACAGGCGCGGCGGGGCTGGAGGCGCCGGGGCTGCCTGCAGCAGCTGCTGGCCGAGATCTGCTTCCTGGGCCTCAACTACAAGGTGCGACCCCGTTCGGGCTCCTGGGCCAGGGAGGTAGCGGGCATCAAACTGCCGTTGGGATCATTCCTGTTTACTTCTGGGCTCGATACTTTTATTTAAACTGTTAAATATTCCATCGGTCAGCAGAATGGTCTGTCCCCAGTAATATTTAATTCACTTGCCTATAGCACTGCTCTTCCCGTGCAGAACTGAGGCCGCTTTTGTAGACGGCAGGTCACTGACTCTCACGTTTTACATGAACACAGCACAGCGAGCTGCTGACAGATGGGGGAACGAAGCTGTTGAGCAGCTGGTGACTGGCAGGTGCCCAGCGTGCCACGTTTCCGCTGACAAGTACAGCAGCGGGCGAGCGGCTCCGGGCTCCTTTGGCTGGGGGGCGCGCGGGGGGTTTGCAGGCAGGAGCTGACAGGCCTGTGTTCTTCCTGCAGTACATGGTGCCGTTTCTGCTCAATCAAGGTGGATCTCTCCTCTTCTATCTCACCTTGGCGTCCGCAGGTTAGTTCTTGTTGCTTCCTTGGAAGGGGTTGGTCAGGATTTTGGGAGGAGCAGTGTTATTGTCTGGTGACCCAGCTAAATGTCAAGCAGCTGTCCTGTAATAATCACCAGGAAAACAATGGTTTTACGATTTGTACATTATCCATTTTAAACTGTTTGTTAAAACGGTTCCATTTCAGATCTGTCCCTGGCCGTGCCGCTCTGTAACTCCCTGGCTTTGATAGTCACGCTGGTGACGGGGAGGATTCTGGGAGAGGACATTGGTGGGAAAAGTAAGTTAAAGTCACGTTAAACATTTCCTCACGTTGTCTCCTGCCCCTATCTGCTGATGTAATAGCTAAAACCCGCTGGTCTCCCGAAAACCAGCTCTGCCTAACGCTGAATGACGCAACTTCCCCGTGTGTGACTGCCGTTTCCGTAGGGGCCGTGGCAGGGATGCTGCTCACCGTCCTCGGAGTCGCGCTCTGCGTAGCCGGTTCGTGACCGACGTGCAGCGAGACGCAGCGGCCCAGAACCTGCTCAGAGGTAATCCCTGCGGGCTGAAGTGGGCTCAGCACCAGACCGGTGGGCTGTTGCACCCGGGAAGCTGTGTTTTGACACATGGGATGTCAGAAAATGTGGACTGTGTTCCCTGAGCACCAGGGTGGAATAAGGCGTGGGGCAAGGACATCCTGCTTGTGTTTAGATTTAAGGTGTTTTTGGCCTGTTTTGAGGCAAGGATGATTGAATTGTCTTGTTTGGCACTGGAGGGGTAATAAATGGTTAATAAGTTGTTCAACGTGAGCTTCTGGGAATAATTGATTGGGGTAGAGACGGAATCTATCTCGGAACGCCCCCTTCTCGTGGCCAAGCACATGAACGGTACCAGGCCGCAGCCCCTCACGCTGAGGTGACCGCGTGGCTTCTCTCCGCTGTGGCGTGTAGTGTCTCTCTTCTGTGCGGTAACGAGAGTGCAGCTTGTCCCTAGGGAAGGAAGGGGACTTTTCGGTGAAATCAGCCCAAAATACCAGACAGATCACAGCAGGAAAACTCTGTTACCCTTGTGATTAGCCCGAAACGCTACGGAGGGAGCGCAGGAACCCACGCGCAAAGAGGGCTCGTACAAGCTGTTTATTGCTGTGCCTTTCCCTAAGTCAGGCAGATGCTCCTAAAACTAACAGAAACAAGATATTTATATTTTTGGGAAGAGGTTTGATTGCTGCAAACATGATCCAATCATTCCAAATCAGAGGGACGGCGACGTGATGAAATCCGCCGTGGTCAGCGCCCTGCGACCGTCCGGCTGAAAGCGTCCATCCCGCGCTTCCGCTGGGCCTTGGTGAAACGGTTCATTAGCCAGAGGTTCGCGGGGGGGATCCCCCCAGCACCCCGGCTTTCCCGCACCCCTTGGTCCCGACTGGCACAACGCTGCCGCTACCTGGTGTGGTGCAGCAAGAGCAGAGGCACCAGCGCTGGCCCGGGAGGTGGCACGGGGTTCACCAAACTGCGCACAAACAGAAGGAAAAGGGAAGTGCAGAAGTGAACAGCCCAGACGCGCCGTTCGACGGAGAGCCCAGCGCTCTATCCGCAATCTCTGCTGGGCTTCTGCCCAGGCAGCGAGCAGGAACGATATCCTGGCTCCGGGATGAATTCTCCCCGCCAGCCAGCTAACGAGGAGAAGAGGTGAGCGAGGCTGGTTTCCTTCAGGCAGCGAGATCCAGTGCGAGTGGGATCTGGCCACGTAGCTGTCTCTAGCTCCCCTTCCTTTGGGAACGGGACCAAGCAAGGATGCTGCAGCCATGGAGATTGGGAAGGGAAACAGCTACACACATCCAGTGCTTAGGAGGGGTGCCGGTGCCAAAGCAACTGTGACTGTAGCACGCACGGAGCCACCTACCATTCTGCGGTACGTTCTGCGCCTGCTGTTGGGGTGCTCCCTGCAACGAAGAAGCAGCAGACTCAGCGCCAGGCAAAGGCAGCTGGAGGAGAGCGTGGGCGCCCCTTTTCCCATAGGAGAGATCCCCGGGAGGTGTTTTTCCCAGGGCAGAGGAGCACTCCGCAGCGGCACACGTTCCTGTTACGTCACGCTGCTCACCACAGGCCTGGGGAATCCAGTGCCCGGCCTAACGCGCTCCAGTGCTCACGCGTTTAACTGAGAAACAACCCCTCTGGCCTGAACTCTGGATTTCAGGGGTGACCCTTACACAGAGGGCTTTGGAAACACGCTTTTTCTTCCTAAAATTCCAACGTGTGAAGTAAAGCCTTGAAGCGGGTGGCACCGAGCAGGAGGGCTACAGAAAGGATCCAAAGCCAGGCTGGATGAGGCTTGGAGCAACCTGATCTGGTGGAAGATGTCCCTGCCCGTGGCAGGGGGTGGGGCTGGGTGGGCTTTAAGGTCCCTTCCCACCCAAACGGTGCTGTGGTGGCTTTAGCTGAAGAGCACCGCGGGGAGGATGAACCCACTTGGCCACAGCCTACGTACCGCAGCGTCCTGCGCACAGAATCCTGGGGCACCAGCAGCTCCAAGTAGGGCAGGTTTTTGTACCCCTCGTGTCCCACTGCCACGTAGTAACGGCCATCGACCAGCTCCTCGCCGGCAGACACCCGGGTTCCGTCCAGCCTGCAGAGCCTCCAGGAGAGCAACGGCCTCAGAGCCGCCGCGGGACTGAACAGCCCCTCAGCGCAGAAGCAAACGTGCACAGTGGGAAACAGAGAAACCGTGGGTGCCCCATCCCTGGGAGTGTCCAAGGCCAGGCTGGATGAGGCTTGGAGCAACCTGGTCTGGTGGAAGGTGTCCCTGCCCATGGCAGGGGGTGGGGCTGGGTGGGCTTTGAGGTCCCTTCCCACCCAGACCATTCCGTGACTGTGACAGGGCAGAGAGGATCAGTGCAGGAAGTGTGCTGAAATACCACACCCAGCGATCAGGCAGATGCAGCAGATCCCGTCTTTTCCCATAAATCGATGTCTGAGGAGAAGGTAGACTGTGTGTGTTTGATAAAAGCCCCTCTCCAGACATAAACCCCTTTTATGCCACGCTCTGTTGGCTTACTGCTTTCTCCCCAGCCCCCTCACAAAGCACCCAGGGCACTGGGGTCATCCCCCATTTCCAGATGGGAAACGCTGGAAAGCAGAGCAGGTTGCAAGGCAGCCTGGAAGGGCAGCAGGAACTCCCAGCGCCCTGTGCTAATCATCAGAGCCGCTCACGTCCCGGCCGGCCGGAAAGGGGAGCCGGCAGCGCCCCGACTGAACACCCACTTGTCGACAGCTCCGCTGCGCAGGTCGGCTTTCTCCGTCAGCGTGGCCAGGAGCGCGTCCCACTGCAGCGAGGGGCTCTTGGAGAGCGGCAGAGGGAAGGGAGGGCTCAGCAGATCCCCGTTCCGAAAAACACTGCAGTAGGAACAACCCGGAGCACACGATGAGGCAGCCTTCCTGCAGCTGTGGAAGGGGAGAAAAAAGCCAGGCGCTGGTGCCTGGGCAGTATTTTTACAGGAATTGGCCCTGTGGGGCAGAATTCCCAGGATCTTACGGAGAAATTGCCTCCTCCAGTCTCCAAAACCACTCCCAGAGACCCTCCAAGGAAAGGACACTGAGGCACTTACTGTATGGTGCAGGGCAGGTGGGCGTGCGTCTGCTGTCGCGCCGGGACGTTCCGCTTCCGGGGAGCTACAGCGCGGAACTAGAGACGGAGTTGAGCGCACGAGAACGGCGACGGCCCTGGCACAGAGCTCCCGGGGCCGTTCCCTTTGCTCCGTCAGGAGCTGCCTGCCCCGGGACACCGCCTGCCCCGGGACACTGCCTGCCCTCCCCGCGGGCTCACCGCTGCTAGGAGGGACCTGCTGTCAGCAGCAAGGCTGGAGAGGCTCTCCACGGAGCTCAGCACCTTCCACAGCTGCCAGCAAACCCCGGCACAGACCCTTCCCTGCTCCGTAGGGGGGACAGAGGTACGAAGCCCTGTGCTCCCACACCCTGCCGATGCCTGGGGCGCTTTGCTTGGTCTCCACCTGGCCCCTTGCAGCCTCAAACCTCATTTTTCGTTTCATGAGCACCAGCCCCGACATCTCTCAC